CATTTTAAGCGCTTTTTAATGGCTTATAAACTATATATAATGCTATTATATTTTATGATAGTGGATTATGAATTAATAACAATTATAATACTATACACTACAAATATTGTGTAATTTAATAATTCCAATGTCGAAGCTCCGACGTCATAGTACAAAATAATTAATATTTTAATGCAGCAGTCCCTAAGCATACTTGATGAAATAAATATAAATATACTTATCGCTCACATCTCATGAATCCAAGACAATAATATTTTGAAGGGTAAAATAACGTAGAAAAACACATCAATATGTAAAGAATAGTAATCATTAATATTTTGAGCAAAGATTTAGTTTTTTTTCAGTCATAGTCGTTTAATGTTTAATGTCATAGTCGTTTAGATCTTATTAACAAAAGTTTACCGTAAATCATAAATATACATCAATTTTGGATTTTCAAATAGTGACCCCCCTTGCAAGCTACATTTTGAAATGCACAATTCTAACACCGGATTTATTAATAATGATGAATTAGAACAGTTTATGATATCCAATTTAAGTGTGTTATGCATATGAAGATTTTAAGAAAAATGTTTTTTTTTTTTTAAATCTGTGTTGTAAAGGCGAAGGTTGTTATTTGAAAATTAAAATGCAATACTTCGTTATGGTATGCAAAGTAGAAGTAATAAATGTTTTGAAAATAGTATTTAATATTTTCACCGTAACTATTAAACAAACCAGATATAAAATGTACTTAAAATCAATAGAGTAAGTGTTGGATCATGATAAAAAAAAGTTCTTTGTTTTACATCAGTTTTTGGAAAATAAAAATTGTTTATATAATATTGCAAATTTGACATACTATGTAATGTATATGAAATGTTATCATAGTTTTTAAATAATTTATCACATAGAATCTGGAACAAGATAAACAGATATAAATATTGTTATCAATTATCAATATCTTATTTTAATAATTGTATAACGTTTCTATCTGTATGGGTCATATCCGGAATGTTTAAAAACCATTGTTTAAAGTCGTCCTATAAAATATCTAATCATATTGCAGTACATAATAGCATAATATTACAATATTATCTACGACGGTTGTAATAAGACAACTTGACGTAATTATTTTTAACCCTTAGATCAGGGACATATATCTGGGTGATATGGGTGTTTAATCTTTACATCGCCTTTTTATTATCTTAAGTTTTAGATATCATACAAATTAATTAATATATTATTCAGTGTTAAATTTAATGAATATACAATTTTTTCTAGTTTAACAGTAACTCCTGAATAAAAAATAATATGCACATGTCATTAAATGTAAAATTTGATCAGTATTTTTTATAATATTTTCATTTTCTTATTACTAGCATTAAATTTTCGATTTTTTTTTCACTTTTACTTTATTCGTTCTTTTCCAGCAATCCTAAATTATATGTTGAATTTTCGATTTAATACATTTTTTTTCATTTTTAAAGACGATATCATATAGGGGTTAAATTTTTAACTGTTTTTGTTTTCTAATCATCGAGTTGTACAACTTATATTTTCAATTAACCCTATAATGTATACATAATACATATATATATATATATATACATGTACATACATATCTACCATTTTAAAAATTGTTACTGATATGCATCGTTATAAAAATAAGAACTCCCATGTTTCACTCGTATCTCAAATTGAGTCTGTAATTATTTATCGATATGTTTAATATATTGTTTAGAGAGATGCGTAGCAATAACCGTTAGAACAAAAATTAATTTTAAAGTATCCAGAAATTAAGAACAATATTTCTAGATTGAAATAACAATGAGAGTTGAAAAAAAAAACCAATAGAGATATAAGTTTGTCGAAAAAAATCGGGATCTTTTGAGAACTATATTTTAAATACTTATAGTACATTTAATTCTGTTAATGTTTGATGGTTTTTTTTTTAAGATACCGAAAGTCATTAATCACAGTATAGTTTCAAAATAATTCGAAAAAAAAAAAGAGATAAACACAGTTCCATTACGGAATTTGGATGTTTTCTTTTTGAATAATAATAATAATGATACAAAATAGCCACTTTAGGGTATAAAATTTACATTTATACCCAAATGCAATCTTTCATCTGACTTTAGATCGATTATTATATTATCTTTAAAAACTTTGAAATTACAAGTATTATAAAATTATTCACTGTAAAAAGCACAACAAAAAAAAAAAAACATTCCAAAATAGCTTTGCGCTTTGAATTTGAATAGATTTTGTATAGGAAGGTATATTCATATAGCTTTCTATCACCAAAACTTAATAGTCGTTTAAGTAATCATACTAAAACGACATTAGCATTCATTAATTAAATTTTTGATTCTGAGCAGAGCGAGGAATACATTGGTTTTACAATGACGTCTGTTTTGTTTTGTTTTTTTTATCTGTGAACTACCAGAAATCATGCTCCAATTTTTAAGTATTGCACTTTTTCTGAAAGGAAATCTGACTGGGTTAATGCTTTAAGCATATAATTTTTTGATTTTCTAAGCTGTTTTCATAATTAATCGGAAAACCGGAGAAAAACAGGAAAATTTACGAAATGTATTATTTTCAAATCGTAAATTATTACGGTCTTTTGAATCAAGTATAATCGAACTCTACTCAGAATCGTTTTTTGTTAGACAAGATTAATTGTCGCGTACAAATATACATTAAATTCCCCTCTATATCCTACTTTCTCAACTTCTCGCCTACAACAGTGACCCATCGTGCGAAGTATGTCAGTAATCAGTATCTTTTTTTTTTTCTGAAACGAATGAAACCATTGATTATATTATTTTCTAAACCGTTCATTCAATTATCACAGGCTAGCGTATACTAATAGGTATTTTGCATCATACGGCTAAAGATAAAAATAAAATAATACAATTTAGTTCGAACATTCAAAAATCGCGTACCTACATATTTATCCATGCAGCATATGTGCATATGACGTGTTTTACGTAATATATGTTTACAATAAAGATAAAAGATACTATTTCAATATCATTATTGCAATGTGATAGTTATTACCGTACAGGTAAACGGCCACGGACGTACAGGTACACGAAGTGCACCTCTATATTTATTTATACTTTATCGCTCACGTTTTACTTATTTTGCAATACATTATATGGACACACGCGTGCAAATGCGCGTAGGTAGATAGGTAGGTAGATATAACCAGGTAGGTAGGAGGTGCATTTGCTATACAGAAATAGCAATCACACGAAACCGCCATTAGAGCGGAGATGATAAACGATTTTCTTCCAGGTTCGAAGTATTCTCTTCATCACTTTCCCTTCAGCTGCCACTTTTATCCCTTCAACACCTTCCTCTCGTCGTTCTCCGCGTACATATTATAACAACTGACATAGATCACGTGCGGTGTAGATATAGGTGCCTATTTACGAACAGACGGCATAAACGATGAACGTAAATTTGTGTTGCCTAATACCTATACATATACGATTTTGTCTCGATAAGTTTTATTCGCGTACGTCCAGAATGTCCGAAAACCATTTGATGGGAAATTAACAATTTATTCTCTCAAACTATTAAGAACCGCCTCCGAGGTTATTTCTGTATATAACTAAGTAGTGAAACTTCACTCATTCGACTATCGCATTGTCGTGTAATTTATAGAGCGGTAACAAGGAACAGTCATAGACTTTTCAATATTGTATTATATATTTGATTGAACGTCAATAAAATACGTTTGTAAAAGTTATAAAATATCGAAAAAAAAACCAATATAGTTATACACTAAAGGCAGTTTAAAATTTAAAATTTAAGTCGTTCCGTTATTTCAATGAATAAGGAAATTTATTTATTTATTTCAATACGGGAATTACCCAATTACAAGTTTTAATAGAAACGAAACATATATAACATATACAAGAAAACTAATTAGTTCAATAGAGTTGATTGATCCTTATTTGCTATTCTCATCATATAGTACAAGAATACTATTGATTTGATAGAAATTGAGGAATGCAAGTATTTCAGGGATAAGATGAACTCTGTTACTAGTAGTTGTTGAGTAAGAAACACTAAAATAATCATTCGACTATGTCATACTTAGTAAATTAAAGTCACCACAGAGAAGAAAATTATGATTTTCACAGTCATAAATAAGATGCTCAACCGTGCTAGCATATATATAATATAATTGAACAGGATAGCTAGGCGGTATGTAGACACCACCAACTATAAATTTATCATTATTATAACTGAAACTTATGAAAAATTGATCAATACTTAGATTAGAAATGGGAATAACTTTTGAAGACAAATTTTTATGTACAGCAATAAGGACAACACCATTTCTAGACCAAGTACTCGTTTAACTATTATGGTCATACCTATATACATTATAATTATCTAAGCCTAATTCAGAATCAAAATCATCTGCACTAAGCCAAGTTTCTGTTAACACAACAAATATATAACTAAAAGTTATAAAATTACATTTAACACTTAACAACTTTGTCTTAAGACCATGACAGTTTTGGTAAAAACCAAACGAAATGTTAGGAAATAAATTAAAATTTAAACAGCTAGACATTTTATGTTTGTTATAAAGGTCATGTGTAGGCTTAATATTACTAGGCAGACAATGGTTAACCGCAGGTAACTTAGAAGAACGAGAACATTTATATCTCAAATCATTGAAAACTGTTAAAAAATAATTAAAGGCAGACTTAGCTCTAACACAAAAAAAAAAAACAATTGTCATGCAAACCCAAATTGAAAGAAGTATGTTGGAGGCCCACATTAATGAATGTACACTCTGACAAAATTATTTTTTTGATAGCAAGGCTTTGCAGTGGATTGACTGCCTGCGTGAATCCCGTGGACCCTGGAAGCAATAGATGGAATCCCGTTTCTGTATTTGACTACAATGTCACGTTAACCTGATTTTTATGGTCCTCCAGCTCAAGATAAACACGTCGAATTTCCTGCTTCTCCAGTATTGTACGGTCTTACGTGATAGAAATGGAGATAACTTGGCCAAAAGTATCGAGTTTACGCTTATTGACATTAAAGTCATTAATGAACTGTAAAGCCTGCTCTTTAGAATTGAAAATAGCTTTAACTGGTCGAAGGTTCTTGCTACACCTAGACGCAGATAATAGTTGAGTAGCATCAGATAGGAGTTTAATATCGTTAGCTGTCATGCCAATATGCAGGCGGCAGCCGATTCTAAGATTCTATGAACAATTGCATATTTTGCAAACACTTTTCACAATCAGAAAGTTCCGGTAATAATTGAGTTAATTATTTAGTAGCAGGAACGGTCATTTTTGCAACATCCGACTCAAGGATAAGTACTTTATTTTTTAGAGTAATGATATAAAGACAAACAGACACATTCTCAGATTTGAGCTCCACAATCTGAGATGTTAATGAATCAACACTTACTTTTAATTCTTCAAATTTTCAGCTGAGAGATGAACTCAAAGATTTGAAGTGAGAAAGAGTCTAATTTTGTGTCTTCCGAAATCCTGCAACGACTCTAAGAAACTAAACAGAAGAGATAGGGACAGTTGAGGTACCTTGTACGTTTGCAATATTCACTAATGATGGGAAAGAAATTGATTAGGTTACAATTTGCTTATCAGTTATAGGCGATTTCTAACTCATTGTATAAGTATACTTAAAGTAATACTATTAGAAGAAATTTTCCTGAAGAGGAGAATGCTGCAAAATTTACAGTTATAAGTTGACGATAATGTAGCGATTAAAACAAAACGAGTAAACATTAATAATTCTTAGGTATATTAGAAAGTGAGGCAATCACTACCACATAGTATATATACAAGTGGGACGCGAGTCGTATCGCACCGGAACAGTTATTAGCGAGATAACTTCGGCCGCACAACCTTTGAACATCGATAAACTATAAATACACTTACGTTATTCTGCATGAAAGCAGCAACCACCGAAACTGACCTTACGGAAATTTTGGGCAGAATAACTCCAAATCGACATCGATCTGCACGCACAATTGATATAGTTTTTCTGATGCATATAAGGTAATAAATTATCTACAATTAACGGAGTATAGGAGAAAAATATAGCCATGATAATGAACACATGTTTACATAGTTGAACTTTTGGAATCGTTAAAAATTTAAACTTTACTTTCAATCATAGGTGGTTAGGCCAATTTTGGCCTACAGGCAAATGTCCATGATAGTGCCTCCATCACTCCCAAGAGTAATCCAAGAGACCCGTCACGGCGTCTACCGAGAGAAGGGCACTGTGAAATTCCCGGCTTCTCGGTAGGTCTATCTATGTCTATGAAAATGTCAACTCTAAAGTACCTATTACCAATAGACGTTCGATTGTTAATCTATAAAGGTTTTAAATACGATAATCTTTTTAGAGCTGTTAGAATGTGTAGGTATATATATATTATATACATTATGTAAAAAAAAAAAAAAACTAAAATCATTATTTTTTAATTCATTCTGCTCAGAAAATAAAATAATAACTTATCAACCGTACATCTACGATTTATATGTTGTCTGCTACTTAAAATATAAGATATTATATTGGCATAGTCAGGAAGAGCTCGGAGACTATTAAAAATGCGGCTAATGGGAGCATTATGTGTATTTTTAAAAAACAAATTTTTTCTGTTTGTTTTTAAATTTTCTACTAGATATCTTGCTTCAATCAAAAACCGACATGAAAGCTTTGAATAGAAAATGCTGTAAATATGGTATATTGAGAAGGTCATATTTTACTGTTTCTTGTTTTTATCTACACAATTGTAGGAAAAATAAGAATATTTATCATTATATGACATAAATTGTTATTGCATACAATTTATGTTATTTTCAATTTTGTTTTATTGTTCAAAAGCAGTTAGAAATAACCGTAGAACCTGAAATTTGCTCATAGAAAATTTATATTAGTGTTTTTTAAATGTCATTTATTTTAAAAAAAAATTTGGCGGTTTTTGAGCTGTTCAATTATACATGATTGAAATTGTCGAGTGGTTTTAATTTTTATTTAGTTTTATGTGGAAAACATTTTTTTGGCTTTTCAAAATGCTCGAAAATTTGATACAATAAAGTTTATCATAATGTGTACTGCAAACATACTAAAAATCCACAGATATAATTTTTTTTTTAATAAGAGTTTATAAAATTTACTTGTTTATGTTGGAGAAGAGTAGTGGAGTATCATTTGTGTGGTGGCCTTGCGCGCGACGTGTTATTAATGCACCACTACTCTCCTCCAACCTAAAATTAAAAGTAGAATATCTCGTCAACGGCTAAACAGAAATAAAAAATTTCAACACTAAAATTTATTTTTACTGATATTCCATCTATCTATGGGATTTTTAATATGAGTTGTCATTAGAAAATTAAAAGTAGGTAGTGGTTTTATCCCCAAATATAAGAGTTAGAAAAAATAACATAAACGTAAAATTGTTGAGCTGGTTGTTTCTTAAATGTCGAAGAAAACAAATTTTGAAATAAGTTAATACTTTCCGAGATATTAAGTATACTCACTTAAATGAATCACCAGGTATAACTAGGAAGGCGTTGTAATTTATAGTCGATTAAGAATAAGAAAAGTTATGTTTTCGACGATTTTAGAACCACAACAGGTTAAACCATTACCTATATAAGTAATTTGTTTATGAGTGGTTTTGACAAGAGTTGTCAAAATTATAAAGACCCCGCAGCAGGAATTGATGATTAATAGGTGTCTTGGTTCGAAAATAATATTATTATATTATTAGGATTTCATCGGTGCTCGGTGGAGTTTAATATTTTTGGTAAAAATGTAAATTTAAAACGTAATATTCACGTTTTTAAGAATATGAAAAATAATTAGATAGGTACCTATACAAAAATGTCTAAATCATAATATACCGATGTTTAATTTTAAAGGTAACAGGAAATATTTGAACGTATGACCTTGAGTTTGATTCGGATTTTAATTACTGCGTGTATGATATATAAATACATCTGTTTTTGATAAATTCTAATTTTTAACTATTTTTATCGGCACGTGCATTTTTTCAAGTTGATTACTCAATTAACTTTAAATTAAATTTAAAGTTACAATAATAATATGTTCTTTGAATTCAAACCATCATCATGGTAATCTTATTGGAAATAACAGGGTTCGAAGATATTTACATCTAGTTGTTATACTTATTTTTTTAAATGAAATATCCAGCAAACCAATTTGACAAACGAGGTCTCTATAATTTATAATGCGAATTCAGCAAAATGTACATAAGGAAATTAGATTAAAAAAGTATATATCAGAAATACTGTTAAACAAAGAAAATTTCAAGTCAAACTTTGCCAAACAAACTTAAAAATTAATCACAATTTCACAAACACCTAACATAGAAAAAGATTTAAAGACAACATACACACAAAAAAATAAGTATTTAAATTCAGCATTAGAAAGTTATCATGTCCATAATGAAAGTAAAAAAAAACTATAGTTTCAACAATATATTAAAAATAGATTTTTAAAGTTAAATTTTGTTAACGTATTTACATAAACTTAAAGAAAATAATAATAGTGATAACAACGTTTAATTTATTTTCTCTATTATCATTTTTTAAATTTAAATATTTTACAGTAAAACTTCCGCCTACGGTCATCTCTATGTAATGATCATTTTTTTTGGTTCCGTCAAGTGTTATGTCTTTATACGATACTTCTAAAGAACGGCCATTTCTAAATAGCGGTTATTATTTCCGATCCCATTGGTGACTGTTATATGGAAGTTTTACTGTATTTACCCACATGTATAATTCTACCAATATATAACGATCATTGTTTTATTTTTATTTAAAATGTGAACCGATAGGTAGTGTAAAATCAATAACAGCTGATGATGACAATATGCCGAAACTTAGTAGTTAGCAAATAAATATATATTCACACTTTAAGTCTTAATTTAAAAATTGTTAAAAATCTCAAATGTACCATATAGTAAATAAAACAGTCAAGTACTCGAGTTAAGTCGATAATATCGTTATAAAACAAATTGAAGTTATTATTTATTTATTATAATAAGTTTATAATAATAATTATTATAATAAATATAATAATTAATATTATAATAAATATAATAATTAATATTATTTAAATAATAAAGCGACTTTTTAACAAGACGAAAAGCAAATGTTAGTTTACCTAATTAATTAGTTATTGAAATTAAATTATTAAGACTCTAGTCTACGTTGCCATTTGAGGTAGTACCATAACGTCTCCCTTTGAGGGTTTTTTCGAAGGAAGTTTGAGATAGCCGGTTTCGTTTTCTAATGATTGTGGTACGGTGGGTTATATGGTTTTTGGAGACATTTCTTAATCTGTATACTATGGTGACGAAAGATAATACTACGCGTTTAATATTACTATTTATATCTTATAATTTTATTATCTGTGTAATATTTATACAGATTACACGATATATTCAACATTTTAATCAATAACAATTTTCGATTTTTATTTTTTTCATACAAGTATATGATTAATATATTAATTACTTTATTTATATGGCAATATTGGACTTGTGTTTGAATCTATCAACGTAAAGAAATCTGTCTATCTATTTGACATCAAAATTATGATGTGTTACGTGTTATTAAACTGGTAAACGTCTATATTAGGGGTAGGTACCGTAAACTGAGTGCAAACTAAAATAGCGCCGAAATTAATCTAAGTATTATATTATTGTGTTCGACATATTTCGTGAGGTCATTGGATTCATTGTTGCAGCAGCTATTCAGTATGAAACGCGAAGAGAAAATAATAAAAGATGAAATCAACCTGACATCAATCATTATTATAATAATATTCTATATGAAAGTATATAATAATACAGCATATGACAGTGTACACAAAACGAATAATGTTATTATCACGATGTCACCGATAAAACTACTTTTTTTTATAATCGACAAAAAAAAGCCATATTATGAAGAATCCTATTGTTTTATAAATACATGCAGGTGAGATCTATATATAAAAAAAAAGGATCTATTTAAAATAGTAAAAAACTATCATTCTTTTAAATTGTATATAATTTGTAAAAGTGTACAAAAATAATGATATCATTTACATATTATCAAATGTATTATTTTATTTATGCACACGATTGTTTACGTATTATAGTCGTGCATTTTTTTTTTCATATGTAAAAAAATAAATTGCATTAGGCGTCAAATATACTATGTAGTATTTTTTATCTGTCACAGTGTACGTAAGTGTGAAACGAAAATCCGGTTTCCAGGATGAATTTAATGAGATTTCTT